GCCTCGCGTGTTTTATATCTGAACCATGTAGCAAATGTACTTTCCTTCGTTTATCATCAACAGACGTTGTGAGGTGAGGTCGTTTTTACAGGAAGGAGATGAAGCAGATATTGATGTCGCCGTTGCGGCAGCACGCAAAGCATTTGCAAGGAACAGCGAGTGGCGACAAATGGATGCCTCAGCGCGAGGCAGGCTGTTGTGGAAACTGGCTGATCTCATACAAGATAATTTCACCGAACTTTCGGTGAATCTAAAGAATCTCATATAGTTCTGTTGCTGTCTATATTCTAGCTTTAGTCTCTCGAATGTCTTGATGTGGGAAAGCCGTTCTCTCAGGCACAAAGTGATATAAATACTGCAATTCAGTCGCTTCGTTACTTCGCTGGTTTCGCTGACAAAGTGTGTGGAAAGTCGATACCAGTCGATGGTAACTACTTGTGTTTTACACGCTGCGAACCAGTCGGCGTCTGCGGTGCCATTTTACCGGTATTCATTGTTTTTTTTGCGTTGACCATAGTAAACTATGTAAAACATAGAACATGTAAAAAAATTATTGTTTCATTTTTTGTTGATTATCTCGCTGACTTGATAGTAAGAGTCAGGGCGAATTACGAGGCTCTTTCATGATGGTAATTCGAGTACATCATTATTTCACTGTAGTCTTGCGAGATTTGGCGAGAATGTTCAAAGATGAAGAATTCTTATTCACAAGCAAAATGAAATGGGGTGATTTGTTTCACGTATTCTCAGTGTATGTAGATAGTTTGTTTTACTTCTGCTGATATTTTATTTGTTTTATCTGTTCTTAGAAGTGGAGGTAGTTATATTGTTGAATGGATGAAGTGAAAGTTTACTGATTGAATAAGATCGTCCAAAAATTCCATTTTTTAGCAAAAGAAAATATTACATCTATGTTCATATCATAAAATGGAGTTGTACTTGTACGCTTAGAACTGACAAAGCGAATCAGGAACTATGGAACCAACGATGAAACCAGTACAAAGTCTCAAAGCAAAGATAGTTCATTGGAAAAATTGCAAAGTATATTACGATGAGTTCCTTGCTTCAATTCGAATCATGAGAACCGAGTTGCGGTGACCACTACCGAGACTACGATTTCACTTAATGAGTTGCTTTCTCCGCAAGATCAGACAACGCTCCGTTGTGTAAAGGAGAAACTGCTGGAGAAGAGGTGGATATACCCCAGTTTACCGAAGAATGCTGTGAGCGGGTTAAGTCTCACAGAGCCACCTCCTGATTACTACAGAGGTGAAGGGTAATCAGGCGTTCCGTCTAAGACTACATGACCAGCGTGAATATTAGCCAAAACCATTTGCAAGAAATGAAAGCACAAGCAAAAACGGTCTTCAATCCTCTGCATTCAGCTCAAGTCTTACTATGGCGATCTAAATGGCATGACTGGCAGATTGCCGATGGACTTCAGTAATGGCAGATTGGTACTTAAAAAATTGCAAACGGTCAGTTGGAAGCCTAAGCTGAGATAGGCAGGAATCAAATAGCCAAAAGGCGGAATCACACATGAGATAAACGAACATGGCCATCGAGATTTGAGAGTGGTGAACCCCTTTAACCTTTAATTGCGAAGAGGGATCAGTCAATTATTGTTTCTTGTAGTTTGAATCTTTCATTGTTTTCAGCTGCTCATAATTGCAATAAGTTGATTAAATGAATCAAAACTATTGAGTACTGAACTTGTTACCAAACAAGCCTCAATTAGAACACTGTTTTTAAGTAACGTCAGTCGCAAGTAACTCTGAAGACAGAATACATTGTTGTTTTACGATGACATAAAAGCTCGATTCCTGGAACATCACTTGTGAATAATGTATTGGTCTACATAATAAAAGAATGCAAGATACATCTGCACCGCAAGAGCAAGTGTTCAGTGTCATATGCAGTGAAACCCGGTTGCTGAAAGTTTTGTTTACCAGCAGTTACTTAATGATGTACTGTTCGATATAATCTTTTTATCAGTATCTGTTTAACTGCGCTAGCTGTTGTACAATAGTAAAGTTTATTTCAGTGGAATTTTCCGTTGGCTCTTCTTTGCGGAAAAGTGGGACCAGCTCTTGCTGTGGGATGTACCGTTGTCATCAAACCGGCTGAGCAAACACCCCTGTCGTCGCTGCACTTTGGGTCTCTGGTTGCTGAAGTATGCATCTCCTTTGATTTTCCTTGTTTGTCATTTGTTTGGTTCGTTTACTTCATAATGCTTTCAGATAAATCGCTCG